CAACTGTCAGAGATAGATGGCTTCTAAACAGGAGGAAGGTTTTTGGATAATAACGAAAATTAAAATTTCACAAGATCCAAGGAATTTATTACAGAATATACAAAATATTCTTGCTAAGTACTATTTATTTAATCTAATGAGGCTTCTAGGCGAGGATAAAAGAAAGATATAAAAAGACATGGTGTATGTCGGAATTACAAGTGTATACTGTCCCGTCCAAGACGTTTTTAACTTTACTTTCGTATTGTATCATGATCATTAAAAGAAAATATATTATTTAAGAATATTTGTGGGCAGTCTCTCTAAAACTTAGTTTCAATGATAATAAAACACAATCGTGGAGAAGATAGACTCTCAGCCAAATAAAAAATAAAAACATTGTGTAAAAACAACAACGTTGTATTTAACCATCAGGAATATGTCTGGTTCATGTGACCACAATAGATCAACTTATATTCAATCACGGACAAAAAGGGCAAGGTTTACGCAACAACTCTTACCAATACTGTTAATCAATCTTCAAACACAAAATAAAGAAACTCGCCTCAAAATGCAGAAAAACGATCACTAAATAGAAGCTTAGGGTTTTCTTGTTAAATTTTGAACTAAACCTCAAGAATGTTAAGACTTGATAGAAGGCGCTCGGTGATGATGCAATAAGTTTCCGTTCAATGCTTCGGTGGTTTTCTTTGACAACTAACTTTACAGAAGTCAACTAGCTTAGCCATCACATGTTTTTAAAAAGTATGCGTTCTCTATAGCTGTGAAAATGCTGAGGGGAGGCAACCTCTGGAAAGCTCCAAAGAGCATTAAAAGAGCTGTAGTGAATTTAAAATAATCAATATCAAAATTTGTTAGTATGAAATCTACTTATTTTCTCTAAAAGCTAAGCTAACGAGATATAATGTGAAAGGAAGGCATTTTATTTACAGTCTACTTATCACGCTAAAAGATACTGACCGGTCTTTTCAGAACATTAGTTGTTTTATTATCAATGATGTTAAAAGTTTCATAATTTTGAATTGTCCCATCCAATTTTCCAAAATTATCAACAACAACAAAAAAGAAACATCGAAAAAATAATCTTTTTTGAAAGAGTAGGCCTACATATTGAGTGCTTAGCAGCCCAGAGAAACTGTTGTCTTCGAAAAATTGCGCATCATCAGGGTGCGATGGCGGCCTTGGGGGTACAAATATATCAAGATGAATATAATAGTGTTGAGATTGAGAAAGAGAAAGCCGCGGAATCCGAAAATATAAATATCATGCTTCTTTATTGCCCAGCCGTTTGATATTGATCGGCCAGAAAACACGTCAACCTATTTTCTTGGTCGGGCGCCCTTGACAATCGAACTCCATAGGCCGATATAGCATCACCCTCATCAAAAATCAATCCCTTGTTTAAGTCGGAGATTGAACGGTTCGTAGTAACGGGGTCAGGCAGCGGTCATGTACATGTAAGCATCAATTTTTAAAATGGCTCCTCCTTGATTGAGCGACTGCTGGTACAGTGGCCTTTAGTCTGTGGTTTCAAACCATATGCCAACATTTCTAATGACAGAAATGATAGCAATAGGAGCATAGAATATGGAGAAATTAATTGCCATTACGAGTAAAACCTAACATCATGCACATTCTGGCTCAAATGTGCACAGGCGTAAATTCCACGAAATTTGAAGGCCTGTGACAGCAATTTATAACTACCAAATACAAATAAAGCAAAGACATAAGTGAATAATCATGAAACATGCCATGTACAATCACTTCTGCTGGAATGTGATTTCCAATTCAAGACTCATAAATCATCTTCTCGTGCAAAATGAAATAAAAACACATGGCCATTGTTCTCCAGGTAAACGAACTTGAGGATCGCTCATGATTGCCACCCTGTTTGTCTGAGTATGGCGTGTATTATGTTGAGGGGTCATCCAAAGTTGGATGGCGTACAGGGCTTTTGGGATTCGGAGAAGCAAGAGAGTTGGTGATGAACTACCGGTACTGATGTTGCCAGTTCCCATTATCATCAGTCCCAATCTGCTTGGTAACACTGATATCTCTGCTACGGAAAGCACGCGCGCTTTCTACCCTATAAAGCTGGCGACGCCGTTTCCCATAGGATGTCTCCAAACAAAGTTTGCGTTCTAGTACCTATTTTAATGGCTTTAGGTGATCTAATGAAGATCGGGTGTGAGGCAAGACCTAGGTCATAGTCTTACGTTTGATGAATAATCTAAAACAATGTAAACACTTTTCAGTTCACTTCATAACTTGCCTTATATGGGAAGTTTAACGGTTCGTATGTTCTTTGCTTACCATATAAACTTACCAGGTAAATCGAAATTCAATTGAATTAAAACATTTCTATTTTTCTTACGTCATGTTTTTAATATTCGTCATCGAAGAGAAACCTAAATACTGAGTCTGCTGAATGATGTGAAATAATTATGTAAGACTCATATTTTTTCGGAGCACACATATTATCTTTTTATGATACACTATGTACATCTTCATCACCTGCCTTTCGAGTTGGAATACTTGATACGTCTCAGAAAGGACACGCGTATAGCGCCATTCCTCTTTTCTTCCACAGTATTGTCTCTCCTCTCTCCTTTTTCCCTCTTCCTCTCTCTATTTCTCCCTTCCTCTCTCTCTATTTCTCCCTTGATTCATGTCAAGTTAACGTTCCTCTTCATCAATCTGTCATCGGGTCAATTATTGAGAGGGAAACCAATAGGAGAGAATGAGAGACACTGCCCCGGAGATCGTTCGCCTTACACCGTGCCATGTCCCTTGGAGCGAGCTCCGAGCAGCCCCGAGTTACAGGAGGTTACGACAGGCAATTCCTTCTCTTTATCGCTTCAAAGATGACAAAGGTTCTCGTAAAGACTGCGTAACATGAAAAGCATGTTTCCTGACATATCCTCTTCCAAAGTCAAATCGCCTTGTATTCATTTTGTTCCTGAAGCTCCCGATCTTCCTTTGCTGGTCACTGAATGCAAAGTAAGGGGCCTACTCTAGCTGCCGAGCGTGAAGAGAAGGGTGATTCACACCGTGCTTTCGGCATGGAGGCCCGGCGAGAGACATTTTGAGGGAGATTGGGGAGCTTGCCGAACTTTTATATTGCATTATACTTTCTATATACTTACAATACCAGAACAAATTAGGAAGTAAATCGTACGTAAAATAATACATTAATTAAATATGTATATCGTTAGAAATTAAATGGTGATTTTTCTTTTTTCTCAAGTAGTATTACATCAAAATTTAAATTTAAAAAAAAATAATGAGCTGGAAAAGTCTATCGAATTGCCTAGCTTGCAACCACGCACCCTTAGCAACCCCCTCCCCCAAAAAAATAGTTTAATAGGGTTAAAGCCTGAAGGTTTCGAGACAACATGACTTTCTTTGATGCTTTGGGATTCGGGCTTTTCCGTTACGGAAACCCACCCTCCCCCTTCCGAACTAGGTCAATCGTGGGGTTCTTGCCCTAGCCCAGACAGATGGGCTACATCAACGAGGGCGAGAGGGTAGAAAGGGGGCTGAGGAAGACTGTGGATTCAAACCAGCACTCCAAAGCAAACGAGTAATTGAATTATCTTTGTCAGGGCACCATTATGTCTTAGCCGACACACTTTATTTTTCCTGATCGCACCAAGTACATCATTTTGGCAGGAAAAGCACTAAAGAACCACATCGCGATTTGATCATTTCATTCCCAGTAATGTCTCTCTCGAAGTACACCACAGTGGCGGCAACTCGGTTATATGCATCATTGTAGGTACTTTGTCTGGCATTAATGCATGCCAATCTGACGCTTATTACATGACAATCAAGTACTCGTAAAAAATATTAATACAATATTATATTATCATAAACCTTTACCGTCTTTTCGTATGTAAAGGTCAAGACCATTTAGTAATGAAGATTCTGATCAATGAAGTGTTGCCGCCACTGTGCCGTGTAAAACTTGCATAGCCTATATCCCTTTTCTTGTTCCTCAATACAAGTCTTACAGGTGAAACATCGAGGCCAATAACCGCCAGAATGTGGTCGTCAAGAACTGTACAAATCAACTCAATGATTAAGTGAACCAGTTCGTGAAAAATCGAATAAATCAAAAGAGACTACGACTAAATAGAGTACACACGGCAAAATAAGCGAACATCGGCTAGTCATGCGGCTCATGTGTCGTTGCACTCTTTAAATGAACCGTTTTTTCCCTTCGTTTTATCAAAATGTTCATGCCCTAGGCTAGTTTTGCTTTTGGTGCTTGATTGCACGCAAATGCAGACACACTGGTTTAATGTTTAATGTTCTGGAACTAGGTCTAAACAACAAAGCATAAAGGGAAGTTCTTCTCTATCCCTTTTCACCACCCAAATCAAGCATGTAACTTGCGAATAACATAAACATGATAATAGTGAACGAGGGAGAAAGACGGGGAGAAACAAAATAGAAAGCAATGGAGAGAGAGAGAGAGAGAGAGAGAGAGGATTCAACCGATTTACACATAACTTGTAATTTCTTCTTCCTTTCTTACAACACATTGTCGTGGTCAAATCAACATTAGAAGATGGAAAATTAATAGGCCAATAGAAATGTAAAATTTCCCCTGATCACCATATGCATTTTGTTTGGTTGTGATTCAATCAATGTATTTACGTTTTGCAGATTAAAACATAAATGTAGCCTATATCAGGCAGGCTATGACAATAACGATACGAAAACACAATTGATATTGCATTGTTTTTCAAAGAATTATTCCTAGTCATAGATATTTCTTTCGAGAAAAAATAAGTAGAAAGTATAGTTAATTAACTTTTTTTCTCCCTGAACACTGAGAGTATATTTTTTTTAAATACCAATAGTCAACCTTGCCGAGTGAAAATAGAAATAGGGTTTGAAAAATATATCTAGAGACATTACCAAGAAAATAATTTTGTTGTCAAAATATAGTATTGGACATTCAGTTTTTCCCTACCAAGGTCGCAATTTCTTACCGTCAAAATGTGGAAGCTGTCGAAAATAAATTCAGGAACAATCAAGGGCAGACTCAATTCAAACCGTCAAATTGATTTCAAAGGCCATTGAAATGATGATAAAATGGCATTGCACGTGCTTCTTCAAGTGATTAATGTGTCCGCGTGTTGCACAAATATGTTTAGCTCAGAGTTTTTCTACTTATATTCAAACAAAGACTGATCGGCAATGCTTGAAACTGTTTTTGAATAAGTTATTGTCATTTAGTATCAATAACGATCTTCAAACGTCGACGTATACAGTGGATCTGAATAATGAGGTATATGTTTTTCTTCTTCTGATGACAGAGAAATCTCCAGGTATATTCCACACCACTGCACCTGTTAAAGACCCTGGGTAATACCAACAACCACTTGGCACTTCGTAAAACAAACTGTTAAAGATCCGCAAGTCCAATCCCAATGCGAGTGGCCAACTCTCCAGATAGGCGTTCCAGAAAGGCAGAGGAATAGCAATAATGCGTGATGAACAAGTTGAATACAGAGAGCCCCTGATCCGCACCTCCTTACCGTAGCACGACCTTATCACTTCTGAAGACCGGCTTTTACCACCCACAACCCCTCGACAGGATACTCCCCTAAACAGATGTACGTAGTAGCATGATTGTCAGTTTACGATCAATTACCCAGTGGCGAACCCACTCTTTTAAAACGGTCAATGAACCAGCCTTCCTGTGTTCCGTGCAGTATCCCTGTCTACATAAAAGGCTAGGGCTAATGCCCTGTGATTATCGCCCTGATGAATAACAATGTATGATCCGAAGTGGCTTGGCCCACCATTCTTTCCTCTTTTTTTCATTCATTACCAGTCCCCCTTCTTCATTCATTCATTCATACAGACAAATGCTTCTTCTCTCTCCCACTTTTTTTTTTTCACCATAGGTCGCACGGATAGGTCGCACTCTCGCCTTACTCTTGGATTATATCTTTGACTTTGTTTCTCATATGGAAATTGGGTTGTTCTTTTTGAAGTTTTTTGTTTTGGATTTATGTGACCACTTTTGGAATAGGAATTTTTCGTACTGAGGTAAGCAAACACTGTGGGCTTTTCATTTCATTTCATTTCACTTCATTGTGGTTAGCTACACGATACGCGCTATTCAAATTTCGCGCCTTTTTTCGAAAGCCAATCATGGCGGCTCACGCCTCCGAGCCGGAAAGATCCATGATGAGCGAGGATGAAATGGTTTTTCAAACTGTGCAAAACAGGAATCCTGCAAAAAGGCAACGTGGGAGAAGCTCTACTAATATAGAGAACTTAAAACACGCCTCAGAATCATACTCTTCGAACACCACTTTCCACACCACTTCCCCAAACCCAAACCCAAAGGGCTTTAACATTTTCATAACCCCAATAGATAGGACAAAATCTTTGAACAAAGTAAATCCCATACAAATAGCCAAGGCAATTCGGGAAGTTTGCGTGAACCCTGTAGATTTTATCAAAACCACTAATACGGGACTCTTAATCAAGTGTAAAAATACTAAGCAGGTGAAGGCTATCTCAGAGATTAACAAAATAGGAAGTGTTGATGTAAAAGTCAGTGAAGGAGTGAATGGATCAAAGGGAGTCATTTATGACATCCCACAGGAAATGAAGGAAGAGGAAATTCTTAATGAATTGAAAACTCAGAATGTGATTGGGGTGAAGAGGATGGTAAAAAGAGTCCGAACAGATGAAACAATAGAAGGAAAGCGCCAAATCTCTCAAATTCCCATGCGCTGCGTTATTCTAACCTTCAGTAAAGTCACTATCCCCCCTGAAATCCACTTATGTTTCCAAATCAAGCGCGTAAAACAATATGTCCCACCTGTAATTAGATGTTATCAATGCCAAAGATTCGGACACAATGCTTCACAATGTAATTCCAATAAAAGATGCGTCAGATGTGGAGAAAACCACTCGTTCGATGACTGTAAAAAAAAAGAAGAACGAAAGTGCGTAAATTGCGGGGAAAACCACTCTGCAGCCTACAGCGGCTGCGCACAAGCAAAAAAGGCAAAGCAGGTTCAACAGATACGGTATGAAAAGGGGCTATCGTACGCAGAAGCAGCTCAGTCCTGGCAGCAACAAAACAAAAAAGTATCAAATCCACAGCCCATTCAACAGAAAAATAAAGCCAACAAAACATTGAGTAAGGAAACAGAAAAACAAACAAACGAACTTCCAGTGCGGAATGTTGGTAAACCTAATAGTACCTACGCACAAGCAGCTGTTCCGTCATTCCTGACCAGAGCAAACACCACCCCACAATTTCAAAACCAGGTTATTCCTCAGGTACCACAGAGTAAAGAGACCATTAATAATCAAGGAACGTCAAATGAAACACCACAAGGCACTCCACCTATGACCAACTTCATAGCCTCGGCTAGTGATGAACAAATTATAGATTTTATTTGCCAACTAATTTTTAAATTCACAGAAGGTAGAACTGAAAAAGAATTGAATACTCTTGTTTGCGTTGCAGCCAAAAGGGCGCTGCAACAAAATAGTACATATGATAGAACAAATGATAGTGATTAATTTACTCATGTCACTTTCCATTATACACTGGAACGCCCAGGGACTCTTAGGGCACGGCAATGAATTATTAAATTATTTAAACTTACACAAGGATTTTAAATATGATATTATTTGCATACAGGAGACCTGGTTTCATAATAACATTATTTTGAATATTCCAGAATATACATGCTTTCCTAGAAACAGACAAAATAATATTAGAGGAGGCTGTGCTATATATGTTCATGATAGGATTAAGTATGAGGGTCCTTTCACAGATGCAAACTTAGAATTACAACAAATGAATGTTTACATAGGGGGGAAAAAATTGTCAATCATTAATTATTATAACCCTTGTAATAAACTGAATGAAAATATTATGAATAAGTTAATGGAAAATGTATCTAACAATGAAAACGTCCTTATAATGGGAGATTTTAATGCTCACAATGTTTTATGGGGCAGCGAGAAAACAGACAAAAACGGTGAAGTAATAGAACATTTTTTGAATAAGAACAGTTTGATTATTTTGAACAATGGAGAGGGGACCAGATTAGACCCACGAACGGGGAAAACATCATGTCTGGATCTAAGTATCACATCTCCTTCTTTGGCGTGTAAGTCTACATGGGGAGTCATGCGGAGTACTTTTGGTAGTGACCACTTCCCAATCTCTCTCCAAGTGTCTCTCGAAAAAAGTACAGATCCGCATAGAGCAAATGCAGGTATGCCTAATGGAAATGTGGTAGAAAAGCCTTTTTCTTTTAAGAATATAAGCTGGTCTAACTTTGCAAAGAAATGTGAAGAAGTATTAAATGGACAGATTACATTAAAAAACACAAATGTAAAGGAAATGTACACCCAATTTATGGAGTACCTAAAAGAAGTTATAAAGGAAGCTGTTCCCCAAAAGAGTAAAAAGAAACAAAACCCGGTCCCATGGTGGACAAAAGAATGTTCTGCTAAAATTAAAGAAAGAAATAAAGCGAGTAACAAGCTCTCTAAAGGTAGAATGATAACGCTGGAGAATATAGATGATTATAGTAACAAGAAAAAAATGGCACAACGAGTTCTCCGCCAAGCAGAACAAAAATATTGGCAAGCGTTTTGCACGAAACTGGACCGTTACATGCCTGAGTCAAAAATCTGGACCTGCATAAAACGACTAAATGGTGTTCCAGGTGCGAGGTCAAAAAATATGTCATCATTGACAGAAAATGACAAAGAAATAACTCGGGAGGATGAAAAGGTGGATGTTTTTGGACGCTACTTTCAATCTTTAGGAATGAGAGAAGATAGGGTAAATGAACAGTATTTAGCTTTAGTAAAGAATAGCATGAATATTCAGGAGAGTGTTATTAATGAACCCTTTTTACTCATTGAATTAGAAAAGGCAGTACAGTCAAAAAAGCGGACTGCCCCTGGTCAAGATAACATTCCTTATGAGGTGTATGAAAACTTTCCTAAAGAAACTAAAAAGGTTATGTTAGATATAATAAACAGGATTTGGGGAACAGGGGAAATACCCCTCCCACTGAAGCACTCTATTTTGATACCAATTTTGAAACCTGGAAAAGATCCCCGGAAAGCGTCTTCATATAGACCCATTTCACTCACATCATGCTTCGCCAAAATAATCGAGCGTTTGATCAAAGAAAGGTTACAATGGTATGTAGAAAAACATGAGTTACTACCTAATTTTATTAGCGGGTTTAGAAAAGGGCGGAGTGCCATAGACAACATAGTTCTCCTAGAAAACGATATTCAGAAAAGTATCAATTGTAATGAACACATAATAGCTGTGTTCCTAGATATTGAGAAAGCTTATGATAAATTATGGATAAACGGACTACTATTCAAACTCGCCCAAAAAGGAATAGAAGGAAATTTGTTACAATATCTACAAAATTATTTGACAGGACGTACCTTTCAGGTAAGAATTAATAATACTGAATCAAAAACATATGATATGCATAATGGACTCCCACAAGGAAGTATTTTGAGTCCACTGCTTTTTAATTTAATGATTAGTGATATCCCTACAGATCCTTCAGTGCCCTTAGCTGTATATGCTGATGATTTTGTCATATGGGCATCAGGTAGGGATATCCTTCAAATATCAAGCAAACTTCAGGAATACCTGAATAGACTCCAGACTTGGTTTCGCAGATGGGGATTTCGGCTTTCGGCTGATAAGACAGTCCCTATATTTTTTACAAAAAGTACAATGAATCTCTCACCACCGCAAGTAGAATTAGACGGGAAAAAAGTGCCCTTTCAGAATACTCATCATTTTCTGGGGGTAACTTTTGATAAGAAATTGACCTGGAAGCCACACGTGGAAAATGTTGTAAAGAGATGTAAAAGAAAATTGAATATCCTAAGATGTTTAACGGGAACTAAATGGGGGAGCTCTTCTAAATCCCTCGTAAAGGTTTACAGGGCATTCATAAGATCTTTACTCGACTATGGATGTGAGGCCTACGATAGCGCTACTACCACCACAAAAAAGGCACTTGATTCGGTGCAATACCAGGCGCTACGGATTTGTGCGGGAGGACTACCTCTCACTTCCCTACAATCCTTACAAGTGGAAATGGGGGAATTTCCCTTGGATCTAAGGAGACAAATTGTGTCAAGTAAATATAGACAAAGTATCGAAAGATCCCCAAACCACCCATTATCACAAAACATAGGGCCATGTTGGCAATTTGATTATCTAAAGGGAAAAGACTTTCTTAGTAAACCTTTCGGGTATAGAACCCAGAGTAAAATAAAAAACTTCATGACAGAAACTGCCGTACCATCCCCATTTCCGCCATGGCTTTTTGAACCCCCACTGGTTTCGACCGAGTTGAGCTCTCGGATTTCAAAAGCCGACCATCCGAATGAACTACAGCAACAAAGCTTAAAATTGATTAATACAAAATGGTCGAACCAGTTGCATATATATACAGATGGATCTAAGTTTCCGGAGAAGGGCCAATGCTCGGCTGCTTTCTATATCCCACACTTTTCTGTACACCAATGTAAAAGATTAGCGAATTTTACCTCATCGTATAGAGCCGAGTTGGCTGCAATTGTTCTTGCCCTTCAATGGATCGAAGAAACAAACATCTATACAGGTGCAGTCATTTTTAGCGACTGCTTAAGTGCCCTCACAGCCTTGAAACATTTTAGTGACGAATCCTTTGTCACAGAAATATTTATAATAACGACCCGATTGAAATATAGAGGGATCGAAATCGCTT